TTTTTTTTTGGGGGGGGGGGGGTAGATACTTAATTCTATTTATGATTTTTTTAAGCTAACGTTAAAATACCCCATTTAACATTTACCCCCATTCACCATATTTACCAAACAAATCTTAACAAATATCTGGTGTAGGCACATTAAAATCTCCCAGGAAGCAAAGGAAAGACAGCATAAAATTTAACATTTGACACAAATGTTCTATAAACTGGACCACATAATAATGATAATCAGAGACTGAATAATATCTCAAAAACTTGAAATCCTGAATACTTTTCTTCAAACGAAAACGTATTCATACTAAATAAGAATTTAACACAATAATTTTTCTTTTTCTGGAATTCTAAAGAAAATGTGTATGTACACATATATATGTTATATATACTATATGTTGTGAAATAAAATACATTACATATTATATACAAAACTTAATATACGGCTATAATATTTACAGTTATTTTGGCTTAAATATTTACAATAAATTTCAAACATGTCAACTATACTGCTAAAACATATTACAAAGTTAATTTAGCGATTACTAGAAGGACCACATACCAGTATTCAGATTTCCTTGACAGAATTTTACTTCTGAGGAGAGAGAAAACATCCTGCCCTGGTGGCACAGTGGTTTAAGTGCTCGGCTGCTAACCAAAAGGTCGACAGTTCGAATCTACCAGCCGCTCCTTGGAAACCCTATGGGGCAGTTCTACTCTGTCCTATAGGGTCACTATGAGTTGGAATCAACTCAACAGCAATGGGTTTGGTTTTTGTTTTTTTGTCCAACTTTCATCTACTGGTACATCTGAATCTTCCCTGTGATGGAATTATGAAAACTTTCTGACTTTTGAAAAAGTCTATGTTTAACATGAGGTATTTTTGCTAATTTCACACCTTACATTTTTAGGTGGTTCCCCCACCAAAACACTCTCACGTCAATTATTTAACTTCGAACTAACAAATACGGTGTGAACTATCACAGCATCCCTACTTTGCAGATTAGGAAACGAAGAGTTACTATGACACTGATGGCAGTAGAGCTGAGTTTCCAGCTTCTAACTCCAAAGAACTGCTTTTTCCTCAATTCTAACATCATTTGCCAGCTAACCTTGTTAAGATTTCTTACTCTTCTATAAACACACTCCTTTTTATCCTATGATATGTTTCCGAACATCAGATTTTTTTGGCAGGGTGGGTGAAGAGACATAATTTAAAATAGTAAACAAGGGTAGGATATTCCAAGTTTCTCATTTTTTGACAGGATGCTATAAAAATTTTTTAATACAGAACAAAATCTTATAATATGGTGATGTCAGTAACTTAAAGATTATTAAAATAAAACTTCAAATTTGGTATTTCTTATCATAAACAATTTTTGTTTAACTGATCAACCAAGTGGAGCAGAAATTTTTCAAAACTAACAGCCTTGAACTCGAAGAAAGTTTCCACTGGAATCTACAAGGTGTCAGTGTCACCTACCACTGCAAGCCTCATTCACTGACATTTCAAAAGCACAGCAAAGAAAAACCACCTTCACAGAGAAATTCTTAAAGGTCAATCTATTCCCCTAGTTTCTCAAAAGTTCACCGTTGAATTAAGCCAGCTTATCATGGAGCCACATACCTGGATCACACCAAACTGGACCCTGAAGAGATACTTTTATAAATTGACTATGCTCACAGTAAAGATGCTGTTAAAGGCTGGGTAAGATGTTTTCTCCATGAGAATCCACAAGACCAACTATGCTCTAGACAGACAGCACGGGTTAGAAATAGCTGTATTTTCCTAAGCAACTGATTTGTTTTACCTCGGGAACTATAAATCCTTTAAGTGGTTGTGTTTCTTTCTTCACTATTAACTACTTGAAAACTAAGCACTGAATTGGTGATCCACCTTCACCCAACATGTAACAAAAACAATAATTAGTAACGTGATATCTTATTATGTGTCAGGCACTGTACTAAGCATTTTATGATTCCTTATAACAACTCAATTACTTCCAATTTACAGTGAAGAAACTGAGGCTTAACAGGGGTAATAATAATAACAGCTAACATTTAATGCGTGTTATGTATCAGACAGAGCCCTGGTGGCATGGTGATTAAGTGCTACGGCTGCTAACCAAGAGATCAGCAGTTCAAATCCACCAGCCACTCCTTGGAAACGCTATGGGGCAGTTCTACTCTGTCCTATAGAGTCGCTATGAGTCGGAATCGACTCGATGGCATCAGATATGTATCAGACAGAAGCCATAGTGGTGCACTGGATAAAGCACTCAGCTGCCAACTGAAAGGTTGGCAGTTCGAACCCACCAGCAGCACCGCGGAAGAAAGATGCTGTAAAGATTACAGCCTTGGAAGTCCTATAAGGCAGTTCTATTCTGTCCTATAGGGTTGCTTTTAGTCAGAATCAACTTGACAGCAATGGGTTTTTGGATGTATCAGACTCTGTTATATTTTATACTTATTAACATTTAATCCTCATAACAACCCTATGAAGTAAGCATTAATTATTCCTATTTTATAGATGTTAAAACAGTTATAAAGAGGCTTGTCCATATGCCAGCTATATCCTTAACTGAGGCAAGAGGTAATTGGTAGAGCTAGTATCTAACCACAGAGTCTGGATCCACAGTCCATACTCTTAAACACTATGCAATACTATGGCCTTGTCCAAATCAATCAGCTGGCAATTATTATTGCTGAAATCAGAATTTGAACTCAGTTCTGCTTTATCCCAATGCTATGGTCTTAAGCACTTTGTATACTGCCTTCTTATTGCTCCCTTTGCAAAAAAAAAAAAAAATACTACTGAGTATCTATAATATTCTAGACACTAAGCATACATATTACTCATCCTTCGATTTACCCTAAAAGTAAGAAATCTTTGCTTCCCCTAAAGTCACAAAGATATTCTATGTTTCCTTCTAGAAGTTTTATAGTTTTGGCTTTCAGCTTTAGTCCTATATTCTACTTCTAGTTTATGTTTGTGAATGGTGTGAGGAAGGAGTTAAGGTTCACTTTTCCATAGAACCAAAGTAATATTCTATTCAATTTTTAAAATTTTAAATTTATCCAATTTAATTCACTTTTTAAACTTAAACCCATCTTGACAGTTATTTGTATAACTGCTTACAAAGGAATCTATACAAAAGAATGCATCTCACATAATAAGAGATATAATTCTGCTTTACCATAAAACTAAATACACAGGATCATTAGCAAAAATTTACATTAACCTTTAGTAATGTCAAATAACCTAGATATCTTTGCCTAATGGTGTTATCATCTCCATAAAACAAAAAGCACTTTCTTGAAGTTGTCACTGTTTTATTAAATCTCAATCTGAAATGCATGACAAAGAGCACTGAAACCAAGTACATGTTTATCTTTGACCTGAAGATCAAGACCTCCAGTACCACGTTATGAAGCTAGACAAGCTCACCTGAGTAGCTGCAGACTGACAGGGAGATGACGACGACGAGACAACAGGAATGTCAGACTGTACAGCAGCCACAGTGGTAGCGGGTGTGAAAATCAGCTGTACAGACAGAAAACCAAAAAAATACCCTAAGACAAAAGAACATGTCCCACACACAATGTATAGCAGGCAAGAGAGACTGAAATTTGTGACAGAAAGACAAGCAGTTTAGGATTATCTCCTAAGCCAAGATTTCATACAGGACAAAGAGAAGTTTCCGATAATAGAGAACTCAAAAAAACCATAAACATTTTTGAAACAGCTTGTGATTCTAATGAGTAGAGAAATAAATCAGCACTCAAAAGAGAAATTATGTTTTGGTAATATAAAATCTTCAGACCAAATTTTGCCCCAAATAAGCTATTATACTTAAACTTTTCCCATCTCAAAACTGCTGGGGCAGGTTTCCTTCAATGGAAAGTTAAAATAGACAAGTACAGTCACTATTCTTGGACACAATTAAATTTCAGTGGGAAACATGTAAAGAAACACCAAAAAAGCCTTTTCAACCCTCTTTACCACAAAGGATAACTATGCCACATACTACATGACAGTATTTCATTCAGCTACACAGGATCTTTAAGACAAACCTAGGTTACTCTTGATTTTGAAACTATTTGTAAAGAAATATTCATTTTAAATGTAAACACCACACATGTCAAAATTCAACAAAACAGCTTTCACATCAAAAAAAAAGGAAAACCAACTCATTTACCCGTCACCATCTCTTTTCTAAATTTTTTTAATATTGAAACAGAATGCCATTAATGTTTAAGGCAATACAATACACTCAGAGAATATCTATTTAACTTAGTAAATCATGATAATTGTTTCAAAGAATCTGTAAATACTCTATCTCAAAATTGCATCAAGGGTTATTCAGTTCCTCAAAACAACTCACTGTTATTTAAATTAAAATACCAATTAAGGGCTCTTTTTAAACTTCAGTTCTTTAGTTACTAAATTTACATAAATTCAACAACAAAGTATAACTTTCACAAAAAGGTAATTTTCGGTACAAAAAGCACTAAGCCTAGAAGTTTACAGGGAAGATATTCTATTTAGCTTGAACCATATGAAACTGCCAGTTTTAGAGATAAAAAAATGGTCAAATAGCAACCATGTCAAATGGTCTGACCTAACTTAAAAGCTATTACTAGTTAAATAAGATACCGGGCGGGGGGAGGGGGGAGGAGCAGGAACGGACTAGAAATGTGGTAATATCTATTCAAGCCTCTATGAGTAGAAGGTAGGTCATGTCACTGTTTCTTGTTAGAAATATGACTGGAAACTTTCTTTGCAATTTTAGATGGAGAGCTGGGGATCCAGATATATATTCAGTTCACTGATCAAAAAAGAATATAAATAAAAAGGTAACAGGGTCAAAGCTTTGTCTAACTTTGTAAACACATCAAATAAAATAAATGTCAACCAATTTCTACATTCTTTAAAGAAGCTAAGAAGTTAAATTAGAAAATCAGTAGGTACTCAAATACAAATAATCAAATTAATGTTCTTATATTAATAAAAGATCAAAGTGAGAATACAAATAAGCTTGAAGATTTGAGATGGGTGAAAATAATGAAAGCTAGGAATCATCTGGTGAATTATCAGGATATTCAACTCAGATTTCAGAAGATCTCAGGATATAAATTCTAATTTATAATTAACAACAAAATTTTTAATATCTCTAACTATATTTCATTAAATTTTACATAAGATATAAAAGACATACAATGATTTTTATGTATCACTGTAAGTACCAATTATAACTATAAGATGCCATCAATTATAAAATGCATCCTAATTTCAGAGATGTTAAAATACAGGAAAAAAAGTTTTGAAATTGAGGAAATTTGATATTTTAAAAAATCACTCCTATATTAAAGAATCTTTGATAGCTTCCCAGTGTTGCAAATTGCCATCTCATACGCCAAGAAGGCCTACCAATTAAAGGTAGAATTTTTCATGACATGAATGTACAAGATCTGAGCACAAAAAATTTTTCGTTAAACATTAATATTTAAAATGCCTCTTACTGCATCAAATCAAGAAACTTTTTTTTTTATCTCTCTCAAGTCCTTAAACACTGAAAAAATTTGGTAGCTCATATCTTACCATTTGAGCTCGGAGGTACATTTGAGCTTGGCTTGCCGTGAGGGTGGGGGAGGTACTCCCTAGTAACATAGTCTGTTGGGTAATACTGCCGCTGGTAGAACTGGAAGCCTGGGAACGGCTTATTAACTGTGCAGGTGTAGGAGAAGTGGAGAGGTTGATCTAAGGAAGAAAAAATATTAGGTCACAGGCTTCTATTTCTTGCTTCCATGTCACTGAACTTCACCAAGCTGCAGTTAGGCAATCAACGAGTATAAACTATGGCTAAGGACCCAAAAGAGAGAGACGTTCATCTCTGATAGACCCCTTACTTCTTTGGTCAATTATATGCACACATGGAAACAACAGCATGCACTGGTTGGTAATCAGGATAATTTTTAAGAATATGCACAATGTGTTTAAACAAAATTCCCAGTACGTTTCTTAAAATGTCATTTTCACTACCTTCCAAAAAGGAGAGCTAATGTTTCATTATTTTAATATTCCACATAACTTAAAACATTCTAATCAACAGCTTACACTATTCTGTCATATACTGTCACATTTTGAGGCATTTCTGAAGTGAACAAAAATTAAAACACAAATAATCTATTCACATATATAAAAACATACATGTAACATATAATTAAAGTTCTAACTCAAAAGGTCTCAGAGTAGGAAAAAAACACAGTTGCTACTTGTCAAACAGATGGAAAAATACTGAACATTGGTTAAAAAATTAAATCATTAAATAGTACTTTAAAGTTCTGCTCTTAAAGAGAATAAACACAGTCTATTTCTGGAAGCACAGTCTAGCTCTAGGAGGATACATAACAAACTGGTAACTGGCTGTGTCTGGGAAGGGAAATTGGGGTGGGTGGGGACAAGGCAAAGGGAAATACGTATACCCTTTTTTATTTCAATTGCATAGAATGTGCATGTATTACCCACTTTAAAAATAAATAATATTTTTGACGAGATAATCATATAATCTGATCTCAAATCATTTTTGTGGAAAAAAAAGAATAAAACTAACAAATAGTTTATCAGACTTCTGATTGAGACCACAAGGAGGACCAATCTATCCATGTACACAAACACACTCACAGAAATGCTAGATTGGTATAAAAAATTAGGGTATACGGCTGAACTTAAAAAGGTGGAGAGAAAGAGAAATTCCTAGGTGCCAGAAAGGAAGAAGAAACTCAGAGCCAAAACGCCAAGGCCTCTGGGGAGCTACCGAGCCTATTACAGGGGAGAGCTAGAAGTGAAATCCCCATTTAGAGCCAAGATACTCAAAAAGGCGGTTCAATACATTAAAGGGGAGCTGGGAAAGCTCTACTCATAAGCCCAGAGAAGCAAAAATGAAGAGCAGTCCACCCCTCCTCGAGTAGAGGGGGAAAGGAAGGTCCCTATGAAAAATCAAAACCCCAAGCTTGAGCCACATAAGGGCATAGAATCCAAATTTACACTACCTGCAAATTCCATAATCCCTCCCAAGACATTAACATTAGAACTACTTAAAACTGAACAGTGATTAGAGGAAGCTGAGTGAAGACAACACAGAACCTCTCTGTATTATTTTTGCAACTTCCTATGAGTCCATAATTATTTAAAACTAAAAAGTTTTTTAAAAAACTGAATGATAGATACAGTTACATAATTCTCTAAATTTATCTGTATCTTTTAAATATTTCCTAATTTAATCATATATTTAAATCAATAATTAAGTGCATAAACATAATTAATAAAGAATCCTTCTCCAATCTGGCTTTTACTCCTACTATACCACCAAAACATCATTGTCAACAGTCTCCAATGAGCTGACTGACAAATGCAGCAGATTCTGTTCAGGCCATTCTTTCTCAGTCTTCTATACCAGCTCCTGTGTCTGCCTACCCCCAAAAGCTCATGCCCTGTCCTAGCACTTTCTTTCTTCTTAAATTCCTAGGTTATCACATTTGCTCCAATGCTTTCAAACAATTCAATCTTGATGACTCTCAATCCTTCACTACAAATCCTTATTCAGACCTCCAGATCTAACTACTTACAGAACACATCTTTCTGGATGTCCGTTACCAACTCAAACTCAGTACGTTCATGTTCAAACACCAAACTCATTATTATTCCTCCTAAACCAGCCCCTCCTCCTATTACCTATCTCACAAACGGTACGGGCATCTTCTAAAGTCCCCCATTTTAGAATTATCTGGGAGTCATCCTTGATTCTTCTCTCTCCTTTGCCACACACTCAAACTCACTCATGTGACATACTGTGTCTATATCCTTTATTCTCATCATTTCCATTTTGATTTCTAATCACTTAGCCTAAGAGTCTGTCACCATGGCACTACTAGCTAGATTACTTTAACAGCTGCAAATTGATTTATCTGCCTGGAATCTTGTCTCGTCCTACATTTAAAGAATCTTTCATTGTAGAAGAGAAACTAGATAACTGGGAGCTCCTAAAAATCAAACACTTATGTTCATCAAAAGACTTCACCAAAAGAGTAAAAAGACAACCTATCAACTGGGAAAAAATTTTTGGCTACGACATATCCGATCAGGGTCTAATCTCTAAAAGCTACAAGATACTGCAAACTCCAACAACAAAAAGACAAACAATCCAATTAAAAAAATGGGCAAAGGATATGAGCAGCACTCCACCAAGGAAGACATTCAGGCAGCTAACAGATACATGAGGAAATGCTCAAGATCATTAGCCATTAGAGAAATGATGAGATACCATCTCACCCCAACAAGGTTAGCATTAACCCAAAAAACACAAAATGATAAATGTTGGAGAGATTGTGTCATGGTTTGAATTATGCCCCCCAAAAAATGTGTGTATCAATTTGGCTGGGCTGTGATTCCCAGAATTGTGTGATTGTAATTTATGTTAAAGAGGATTAGGGTGGGATTGTAACACCACCTTTACCCAGGTCACATCCCTGAGCCAATGTAAAGGGAGTTTCCCTGGGGTGGGGCCTGCACCACCTTTTATCTCTCAAGAGATAAAAGGAAAGGGAAGCAAGCAGAGAATTGGGGACCTCATACCATCAAGACAGCAGTGCTGGGAGCAGAGCGCGCGTCCTTTTGACCGGGGTCCCTGTGCAGAGAAGCTCCTAGTCCGGGGAAACACCGAAGAGAAGAAGGCTGACAGAGAGAAAAAGCCTTCCCCTAGAGCTGACTCCCTGAATTTGGACTTTTAGCCTACTCTGACTGTGAGGAAATAAACTTCTCTTCGTTAAAACCATCCACTCGTGGTATTTCTGTCAGAGCAGCACTAGATGACTACGACAGACTGCAACACTTACACACTCCTGGTAGGAATGTAAAATGGTACAACCACTTCAGAAATCGATTTGACGCCTCCATAAAAAGCTAGAAATAGAAGTACCATACAAGCCAGCAATCCCACTCCTTGGAATATATCCTAGAGAAATGAGAGCCGTCACATGAATAGATATATGCACACTCATGTTCCTTGCAGCACTGTTCACGATAGCAAAAAGATGGAAACAACCTAGGTGCCCATCAATGGATGAACGGATAAACAAATTATGGTATACTCACAAAATGGAATACTACGCAACAATAAAGAACAACGACGAATCCACGAAACACCTTACAATATGGACGAATCTGGAAGGCATTATGTAACATAAAATTAGTCGAAAAAGGACAAATATTGTATGAGACCACTATTATAAGAACTCAAGAAAACGTTTAAACACAGAAGAAAATGTTCTTTGATGGTAACGAGGGTGGGGAGGGAGGGAGGGAGAAGGGAATACACTAACTAGATGTTGTTGTTGTTAGCTGCCATTCAGTTGGTTCCGATTCACAGCGACCCTATGTACAACAGAATGAAAACGCTGCCCGGTCCTGCGCCATCCTCACAATCATTGTTATGCTTAAACCTACTGTTGCAGCCACTGTGTCAATCCATCTCACTGAGGGTCTTCCTCTTTTTCGCTGACCCTCTACTTTACCAAGCATGATGTCCTTCTCCAGGGACTGATCCCTCCTGACAACATGTCCAAAGTATGTGAGACATAGTCTCACCATCCTTGCTTCTAAGGAGCATCCTGGTTGTACTTCTTCCAAGACAGATTTGTTCATTCTTTTGGCAGTCCATGGTATATTCAATATTCTTCGCCAACACCACAATTCAAAGGCGTCAATTATTCTTGGGTCTTCTTTATTCATCATCCAGCTTTCACATGCATAGGAGGTGATAGAAAACACCATGTCTTGGGTCAGGCACACCTTAGTCTTCAAGGTGACATCTTTGCTTTTCAACACTTTAAAGAGGTCTTTTGCAGCGGATTTGCCCGATGCAATGCATCTTTTGATTTCTTGACTGTGCTTCCACGGGTGTTGATTGTGGATACAAGGAAAATGAAATCCTTGACGACTTCAATCTTTTCCCCATTTATCATGATGTTGCCTATTGGTCCAGTTGTAAGGATTTTTGTTTTATGTTGAGGTGTAATCCATACTGAAGGCTGTGGTCTTTGATCATCAGTAAGAGCTTCAAGTCCTCTTCACTTTCAGCAAGCAAGGTTGTGTCATCTGCATAACGCAGGTTGTTAATGAGTCTTCCTCCAATCCTGATGCCCCGTTCTTCTTCATATAGCCCAGCTTCTCAGATTATCTGCACAGCATAGAGACTGAATAGGTATCGTGAAAAGGATACAACCCTGACACACACCTTTCCTGACTTTAAACCACGCAGTATCCCCTTCTTCTGTTCAAACGACTGCCTCTTGATCTATGTACAGGTTTCTCATGAGTACAATTAAGTGTTCTGGAATTCCCATTCTTCACAATGTTATCCATAATTAGTTAAGATCCACACACTCGAATGCCTTTGCAAAATCAATAAAACACAGGTAAACATTTTTCTGGTATTCTCTGCTTTCAGCCGGGATCCCTCTGACATCAGCAGTGATATCCCAGGTTCCACATCCTCTTCTGAATCTGGCTTGTATTTCTGGCAGTCCCCTGTTTATATTCTGCTGCAGCCACTTTTGAATGATCTTCAGCAAAATTTTACTTGCATGTGATATTAATGATATTGTTTGATAATTTCCACATTCGGTGGGAACACCTTTCTTGGAAATTGGCATAAAGATCTCTTCCAGTCGGTTGGCCAGGTAGCTGTCTTCCAAATTTCT